GCCACACATTTTCTCTGTCCTACTTTCTACAGATCACTCGTCAAATTCCCTTGTATCTTAACCTTGCAATTTTATGTTTCCCTAATAAATTCATTCTGGGTCTCTCTTTAAATTGAGGAATTTTGTTTTATAATTTTGCCTTTTCAAGAAAATATTTTTTCTTGAAGAATGGGGCAGCAGCAATCAAAAGACGAATTGTTGTATCAGCAAGTGAATTATGGAAACATTGATGGCATTAAATTGCTTCGAAATGAAGGCGCTGGGCTTGAGGTATCCCCTCAAGAATCTTGCCCTAAAAGTCTAATTTATATTTGTGAGGGGTGGGTTCGAGGATGCTTTAGATATAATTGTTAATTCTTGTTATTTGTGTTTCTATTGTAAGAACTTTTCATTTTCAGTTGATGCCCGGTTCATTTTCTTTGAATTTATGGCGAAAGACTCGTTAGTGGTATATGTTGACACACACTTGCACATATAAGTGTGATTTGCGCATGTTAAATTAGTCATAGAAGACATGCTCTTTCTGATTGGATTAAGTTATTATATTTTCTGTTGGCTTTCAAGTCTCGTGCAATTATTTGGTAGAGCAAAATACAGACAATAGTAATTTTAAGAGAAGAATTGTGTATGTGTATGCCAGTTCAATTCTTTTTAAGTGGTCAATGGTAATGTACATATTAGGTGCCGGAGTTGCTGTATAGAGCGTTGTCAATTATGTAGTATAATGTTAAAGCTGCCTGTATAATATACTTTTTATGCACCAAGATATTTGATGTGTGCTAAAGTGGTGGTTGTGATGGCAGTGGATTGATAGTGAAGGGAAGACTCCACTTATTATCGCTTGCATGAATCCAGCACTTCACAATGTTGCCAAAACTTTGATTGAACTTGGTGCCAATGTCAATGCTTACCGTCCAGGTACACAAATATGGTGCTTTCTGATTTTGATGCTTCATGTTTCATAATTTCCAGCTCAACACAAGTTGAGTCATTCTTTAATAAGTGAAAATAGAAGTTCAAGGAAAAGTAAAGAAAAGTTAGATAGAAGACTGTTATGATAAAATCGTTTTGTTCTGTTACCCAGTAACTGTAGAAATGGTTATGAAATTTGGTTGCTTCTTAGGTATTTGTAATAATATTAACATGTAAATGGGATAAAGGTATATTTAGATCCTGAAGGGGAATGAACCGCTGTAAATTTAAGCTGTAAAGGCTTGTGATGAGGTGTGTCTTAAGATGTTTTCGTCTTTTTTCTGCTTTGATCCACTTCATAAGTTGTTTTCTCTGAAGGTCGCCATGCAGGGACTCCTTTACATCATGCTGCAAAAAGAGGCCTTGATCAGACTGTGAAGTTGCTTCTTTCACATGGAGGTTTGTATACAATTTCTGTCTATGGTTGCATTCTCCATAATTTAGGTCATGATGTTTCAGCGGCAAATAGTATCTTATGTATACTGTCTATATTTGTCAAATTTATAATTTCTGGTTCAAATTTCAGCAAATGTGTTAGTGATGAATGATGATTGCCAAACTCCACTTGACATTGCCAGAGGCAAAGGGTACAGCAACGTTGTTCGCACTATAGAGGTATTTTTTCTCTTCTGATTTATTTAAATGCTTTACATGGAGATCATGCAAGGAATGACCTTTTTCTATTATGCTTATTAGGTACATGTGTGCTTATTCTCTGGCTGGTTGCGAGAGCTTTATGGGCCTGGCTTCCTTGAACTTCTTGCTCCTCAACTGCTTTCAAGAAAAGTGTGGGTATTCCATATTCATGGCCCCCCTTCATAATGTAGTAACTTGTTTCTTGAGTTTCACTTCCTATTATCTTGTTTATTCATTTTGTATCTGTGTTGTCATTCTCCTTTTCTTAACATTATTTTACTCTATGATCACAAGAAGCTCTTGTTAATACTGTGCAGTTGGGTTGTTGTTTTACCTTGTGGTTCTCGAAATCTTAGAAAGCCTCTTAAGTTGGAGCTTGCTATATATGCCAGTACACAGGTACTTTTATGTCTGTCTTCATTTGAAGCTCAAATGAAATTATTTTAGCTTTGCCATCGCTGTCAAATTTGTAATTAGTATCATTCAAGCTTTTTGATCGCACTGCTTGTAGATGTAGTCTGTTTACCGTTTGACCTTGGTGTTATCTAGATATTTCTCCTTCGAATATCTTCGCGTGAGTTTGATATCTCCTTACACTACCTGTTTTCAAGTAAGCAATATCACTATTTAATCTCTTTCTTTATCTCTCACACACACACATAGAGGGAGAGAGAAATGTCGGGGTTTTATTGCTGTACGTTTATACAGAAACATATTGTTCCTTTCTTTGCTTTGTATTAACATCTACCTAGATCATGTGGTCCTTTTTTAAAACTTGTACTATGTTGTACTATCAGGATGCCCAACCACGATTAATTATTCCACTGTGGAAGGCCAATCTAGAGGAACCCAACTTCAATCTGCCTGATCCAGCAGCTATCGTGTCTGATATTGCAAGCAGTAATTTCTCTACTTAACTTTCATTTTTAATATACCATTTTCTGGGTTCATGGGTATAGTTGATCAACTTTTTATCTTTACGCATAGTCACGATAACGAGTCGAAGGCGAGGTATTAAGACCTCCCAACAGGCAAGGAGTAAGTATATTGAGTTTTGAACTAGCTAAATGAAACTAAAATGAGGAGTTCAGGGGAACACAAGATATTCAACTTTAAGAGTTGTTCTTATTAATTTTTATGAAATTGCTATCTTTGATAGGTAGGTATGGAGAAATCATATCTTAATGTTGCTTTGTGCGCAGTGCTTCTTCACGTGGGAAAAAAAATGAAAACCCGAGTGGGGGTGGGGGGAAAGATACCCTGGACATGGAGAGCAAGAGAAAATGTTTTTCTAAAAGTTGTCACTGGTGTAATGTGACGAGACAAATTGAACCTTTATGGATAGATGTAAACTATTCTTCAATGTGGCATCTGACGATATTCTTTAGTTCAACTCTAGGCATATGGAACTCTTAAGCCTCAATTCATGTACAATGGCATCTGATATGGGAATGGTTTGAACTGATTCAAATCGTGCAACTATTTTATACTCTAATAAAATTTTATTCTGAAGTACATTTTAGAGCATGTTTGCCTAAACTTAAAAATTAGTAAAAAGTTACTTGAGTAGCTATTTGTTTCCTAACATGTTTTTGGTAAACTACTTTTTTTAAGTAACTCTTAGCTTATTGTCAAAATAAGTAACTTAATTTTTAATTTTGATTACTTATAACTAAACATATTTAAACTTAGCCAAACATGCTCTTGATCTAAAACAGTACTAGTATAGAATATTCTTCCCAATATTTACTTCTATGGTTGATAATAATAAGAGGAGAAATGGTGATGTTCCATTAAATGTACAGATGAAGAGACTTGTCATGTCAAATATAATTTGATAGTTACTTCCTGCATTTAACTGTTCAACGCATGAGTTATTCTTTGTTTTCTTCATTTACAGAGACACGAGTTAAACTTGCAACTGCCAACGAAAGTGACAAACAGCAATTGCAACGTTTCTGCAATGCATGCAAAGGAATTCCTCAGGTGAAATACACTTTTTTTTCTAATTGTGAGCGTAGAATTTGTATGAAAAGAAAATAAATTCTAGGCAATTCAATTGCGTAAAAATTATTTGTATGAAAATTATAATTAAATGTGTTTGATTGATTTAGTTTTCAACCTAGAAAATATTATCCTTGTCCATTTTTTATGAGTTTTGCTATGGGTAGTACAATTATCATTTCCCATTTTTTATTGATGAGTAGATGAGGGAGAGAAAGAGAGAATTACTTGGAAAATAAAAACCTCTCCCTAAAGAAAGTATTTTCATTGTTTTCAAGGAAAATATGGTCACGTGATCAAAAGTAGGAAAAAATTGTCCGTGAAGAAAATTGTGAATCAAACAGTACAAAAGTAGGAAATTATGTGAAAAAAACGCATTTTTCATGGAAAATATTGGCAATAAAATGCACCCTAAAAGGCATGCATACATTTTTATAATGCGAGAGCCTCAGTTGTTGACCACCATCAAAATCTCTTATTGACATCTTGAAAAAGTTTACTTTTCTGTATTTTTATGTGTCAAGTCATTCAATCGGCAAGTTTGTCACTACAGAAAAGCTACAGGATGATAATTTTAGAATTGCATTATACCCCTGTTGCTTTTTATGTGTGTGTAGCTGCCATTGTTTTTTATGTTCTTTTTTAAGTTTCCATCTGGGGACGAGAGACTTTTTAACCTTTTTCTTTCGTGGTGGAGGTGGGTGTGGGAAATGATAGAAAGAGGAATTGATATTGCCTAACAATTCTTTCCTGGATTTAGAGCTTAAAATTTTGAAAATTCAGGTGACACACCCAACCTTTCCTGTCAATACACAAGTGCCTGCGGTTCAAGCAACTGCACCACCAGCTTGTGAAGATGAAGAAGTAGCATTGGCAATCAATGCCTCCCTTCAGGCTGCTGCACACGAAAGACCACCATCTATTGATTCTCATCCAGTTGCATCCTCTAGTTCGGCCAATGTAGATAGCTCGAATCCCGGGAATAGTTACATTTTGGGGGCATCTATCACCCACAAGGGAAGTGATGGGACTCTTCAGGAAGCGGGTCCAAGTGGCAGCCAAGCTCAGCATATACAGACACAAAATATCATTCCATCTGTTGTCCAATCAACTCTCAAAAACCCGTCCGCCGTCTCCGTCCCATCAGCTCCACCCGTTGCAGATGTAGTTACTGACGATGGCCCGATCCACTATCCATCAATTGATTCAAGCCCTGTTGATTTGTCTTCTGCCGCTGTAGATGCCTTGCCTGCTAGTCTTGATGGGAAGATAGAAGATAATGCTGCTTCGTCTTGTACAATATGCCTTGATGCTCCAGTTGAGGGAGCGTGTATCCCATGTGGCCACATGGCTGGATGCATGTCATGTTTGAATGAAATCAAGGCCAAGAAGTGGGGTTGCCCTGTATGTCGCGCCAATATTGATCAGGTGATACGAATATATGCTGTTTAATTGTTGGAGGAGATGAAGCTGTTACTGGTGAGTTCAGTACACCTCTATTTAGTCAAACTTTTATTGCATGTATCTCAGATTGTTTTTCTGATCTGAAGTTTGACTGAGTTCCTTGCAAGTCTCTAGTTCACCTTAACCAACTTATGCTTCTCTCGAGTTGAATTAACCACTTGCTATGAGTTTTGGAACTTCAGTTCTTTTGCTTGATCAAATCTTGATTGATCTTGAACTATTTTCTGTTGTATTGGATAGCGAAAAAGTCTCGTTCCGTAACATCCATTAGTATTCAAAAAATGTTCTTGACATTAATTCATTTATTTTTTCCTTGCAGTTTGTAAATTATACCGAGTGCCAAGAGCAGATGGCCAACTGCAGTATAGTATCCGTATCTGTGGCAAAATATGAAAAAAGACTTGGAATTGAACTTGTTTACTAATCACTATCCTGATCTTTACTTGAGACGGTATAAGGCCATTGATGTGGTTTTTTGTGTGTAAGAGATTGTGTTAAAACACTTGATATTATTAGCATATTGAAGATGTTTATACAAGCTTGTCTTGCATTTTAATTTCGAGTTTGTCCTTCACGTTCTGGATTACTGTCATAGAAAGAACATGCATAGGATCTGTTGACCCTAAAAAATGCGTCAACAGAATCCCCACCACGTCCCTTGCACGTGGACATCATCTAGAGGTGTCAAGACGGACGGACCGGCCAGACCCGGATCGATCCGGGACCGCTGGCCGACCCGTGACCCGAGCGGACAGTTCACGGGTCAAGGATGTGTGACTTGCGGGTTTCGCGGGTTGCATCTTCATGAGCCGCGGTTAACCCTCTGGTCCGTGAAAAAAAAAATTAAAAAATTTTGAAAAAAAGTAGGTGTCAATCTAGTTGG